TGGAATAATATCAAGTTTAAAAAGTTGTTTTTATTTATTTATTTATTTATTTATTTATTTATTTATTTATTTATTTATCAAATTTAAATTGTTTTTGACTAATAACAAGCAGGGTTGCCATAAAGCAATTATTAAAAAAGGATAAGAGTACTATTATCATATCATCTTATTATTCATTTCCTTTTATTTGCTATCTCATTCCTGTCACCCAGCCCTGAAACCTTCCACTGTTTTTCATATGTGGATAAAACGTTTGAAATTGGAGCTACCTTCACACAAGTAGCTATGTGAATAGTAATAGTAAGTCTGCATTACTATTACAATTACTAATCCTCCCTTCCTTTCACCCATCTCCTCCCACTTATGACTGTATGACCGTAAATTTGTTGCTTGTATCCTAACAATTTTTATTGACTGTTTCCTAGTATGATTTTTTTTATAAATAAACATTACTATTACTACTATTAATCCTCCCTTCCTTTCATCCATCTCCTCCCACTTATGACTGTATGACCGTAACTTTGTTTACTGTTTCCTAGTATGATTTGTTTGCTTATTGTACCCTATGACTATTATTAAGTGTTCTACCTTATGATTCTTGACAAACGTATCTTTTCTTTTATGTACACTGAGAGCACATGCACCAAGACAAATACCTTGTGTGTCCAATCACACTTGGCCAATAAAGAATTCCTATTCTATTCTATTTGCGGGGGGAAAAGGAATAAGAGTACTATTATCACATCATCTTATTATTCATTTCCTTTTATTTGTTATCTCTTTCCTGTCACCCAGCACTGGAAACTTCGGGTCTATTTCATATGTGGATAAAATGTTTGAATTGGAGCTCCTTCACACAAGTAACCTTAAAATTTACATAGCAAATTTCTAAGGAACAGCTGTTCAACTGTTCCATTTCTTATGTGTATATTCCTGTGAACCCTCCTGCTAAGGGTTTTGTGCAATATAAGTTCCTAGCTACAGCCATGAATATTGAATATTGTTTAATATAATAGAAGTGTTTCACAGAAAAACTTATATAGTTTGAACTACAGGTTCTCTGACTGTTGACATGTCTTACCAGAGTTTAAAGAATTCCTATTCTTTGAGAGACAAATTCCAGGAGGATAGTCATGATTGTTAGAGCAAGCCAAACAAATGGAGTAGATCAAGGTTGCTTGAACTAGAACTCCCAACATCTTCCCATCACAAGTACCCATTGGACTTACTACCTATATTAGTACTACCTATACTATTACCTATTGGAGATTGTAGCTTTGCAGTTCTATCATAAGTCCTTGTAAAATGAACATTAACCATCAGCAAATTTCACAATTAATATTTCAATCCCTAGTTGAATATGATTCCTTTCTCTTTTGATAAAAATTCATTAACGAGAAAAATGGTAGCTATTATTTTCTACTGCCTTATATTTGTTAAACATTTGAGATAAGCTTTAAAATTTATTAGTGTGAGAGAGTTGGGGAAAGGAAATTTCTTCTCCAAATCCAACATGCAGATTGTTCCCTGATTTATAAAACAGCAGCTTTTCCCATTCCCTTGGAACTGTAAGTGGTCATGTTTTCTCTGACATACAAGGACCCCCAATTGGCAGAGTTCTAATGTGCTCTATAATTAGGCTGAGATAGAAGTAGTTAAAAAGAAATTCTTAGATTACTCCAACCTTCTTAGTCCAAATGAAATTAGAATTGTGTAAATGAGGCCAGCAGTACAAAGTGAGAAGACAAAGTAGCTGTTGTGAGCCGCTTTAATAAATACAATAAATATCATATAGCAATAGCATTTAGCCTTATATACCGCTTTACAGCCCTCTCTCAGTGGTTTACAGAGTCAGTGTATTGCCCTCAACAATCTGGATCCTCATTTGACCAACTCAGAAGGATGGAAGGCTAGGTCAACCTTGAACTTGTCGGAACTGAACTCCTGGCAGTGGACAAAATTTGCCTGCAATATTCTAACCATTGCACAAACAGGGTTCTTTATATAAATGCCTATACATTTTTTCCAGAAGATAAGAAACAGTTTTACATATGTTATTTACAGTAAGTAATATAAGAGGTAGCATTCTTTCTGAAAGAATGGGCCTGGAATTCGGGATGATACCAGAGTCATTTTCCAGCTTGCTTTATTTTTCCAAGATTTTGATGCGCCTAATTCTTGATTGAGAAGACAAAGATAAACTACTGTATATCCTCCAAATCTTTACTTAAAATAAGCAAAGAAAATCTTGGAAAAAATAACACAAACTGGAAAATTAATTACAGTGTGTGATAGAAAGAAACAACCAGAATATAATGGTGTGATCCACAGAATGTTTGTTCATATTGCACATTTTTGGAAAAATGTGAATAACCACATTGGATAGAAAGAATCAATTGTAAGAAGAGAGCTGTGTTAGTCTTTGGTAGGCAAAGATGCTTTCTGAATTTTAGTATCTAGGAAGAGATATCTGCTGGGCATGCAAAAGGCAAAATTTCTGGCCAAGTTGGTTAAGATCACATAACTAAATGCAAAACAAGCTGTGGGGATGGGTGAGCTAATGGTCAAAATGCCTAGAATTTGGAGTTAAAATGGTGGGATAGAATTGGTTGACAGAAAGGATTCTGGTTCCCAAAGGAGTAGGCAAGTAACATTTAAATAAAAAAAAATGGGAGCAATGAAAAATTGCAAAAAACTTTAGGCATGAAATGAAAAGAGCTATATGCTATTGTGTGTGCATTGATAAAACAAGGGACCTGGAATCAAACAAGAATAGAGAGAGTTTGGAAGTTTGTTTACTGGCAGGGCTTTTTATTGTTTTGAAAAGAATTTGACATCCTCTTGCATTAATGTGCCTAATTTCTTGGAACCTAGGGCGGTTGTATAACAGTAGTTCATGTGAATTACATGTTTCTCAAGCTCCTTTTTATTTGAATGTCTAGGAAATTGATCAAATTATTTCTGAGTCAGAAAAGTGACAGTGAAAAGTCACCAAAGCTACCTCTTGCACTGGATTAGCCTGAGGAATCAGAATCAACATTCAGTGCCAGCATTTATCTTCACCAAAAGTTACATGGCAAGTGATAGTTGCTCTTTATGTGTGTATGTGTTTATGTGTGTATTTAAATTCTTCCCTTCCTTTCTCTTTTCTTCCATGCATATAATTTCATTAATCTAAAAAATACCTAGCCACACCAGTTTTCTGCTCAATATGTTGAATGGAATCCTTTCATCAGTTTGTTCTGGTTTGATAGGCATATCAGTTCATTGATGTGGGTAAGCAATAATTGTTCTTTCTTCTTATTTCCTAGTATAGAGCTTTTGTCCATACCAAATGGGCCAGGACAAATAAAATGCATGTGATTTAGATATAAATATTGTACTTTAAATGCTAAGGCTTGACACGGATTTATTTTAGGCATCTTTTTTCACTGACTTTCTTCAGTCATTAACTTTCCTTAAAGATTTGCTTTCGAATGAATGGTTTTTATTTTGTTTTTCCTCTATCTTTTTAAAACTCTTTTTATCTTATTCATTTACAAATATTGTAAATCATTTTGAAGTGCTTAAAAAAACACTGTATAAATAATTAATGAAAATACTCCACATGTTTATTCTTTTCCTCCAATCTGATAATATCTAGAAGTAGGGGGCATATATAAACAATACTTTTGGAAGCTGTATCCTATCCAGAGGTTGTGCGTGTCTGGTTCAAATAGTGAATAAAATGCAAACGTGATGTAGTAATAGAAAAAAAAGTTTATCACTAGCTTTGCTGCAAAGCCAAACGAATGTGATGCCTGGGCAAACATTTATGTATATTTTGACATTGTTGTTGAGATTCAATCACTTGAGTGCAGGCAGTCCCAATTGTGTTTTCATTCTTATTCCAAAAATATGAATTCCCCTGGGTTTTTTTTTCCTCATTCCCTGCTTTTGCATTCTAGATAAACATTTTCAGTGTTCTCTTGCACAATTCCCAGTTTATAGAGGAGAGGTCAATGGCGTATGTCACCTCTGCCTTAGATCCTGTCAGTATGGCAGAAAAAGCATTTTGCTCCAATATGTATTGCTTTTGACTTCTTTCCGTGGAGCTGTGTTTATTATTTGCTACATTTAATGCATTTGTTATTTTTGTTAGCCATTATCCAGTGCATGTCAAGTTCTTTTCAATTTTGCTTTAAAGTTTTAAAACTTTCTCGATAATTTGGGAGGGGGGGTGTCATTGACTATGATTATGAGATGAGCAAAGGCCGTGACTTTGATTAGAAAGAAATATGATAGCGTTGCAACAAAAGAACAAATGGTGAATAGTGTAAGGACTACAGTGGGTGAGGCAGGAATCAGTGTTGGTCAGTGAAACAAAACCTTTGTGTATTTATAGAACAGGTAGATTACAATCTCCAAGCTGGGGAAAAAAAGAATCAAAGGTTATTGGCCTGAAAGGGCAGATATAAGATTTAAAACTTAGGGTTGACAGACTGATATATTGTGTGATTTTATTTCCGGCACCTTATAAGTTATTTCTTTCTTCTCTGCAATAAAGGACCTAAACTAGCAATGCTGAAGCATTGATGTTTCTGCTGGTAGTTAGGTGTGAATGCAGAGACATGTTTTAACCCAATTCCATAATGTTTTGGCAGCATACAATATTAAAAGCAGTTTGAGATACCATAACAGTGAAGAACAATAAACCATTTTAAGAAAGATCTTCAAAAGCCAAGTTTTGTGTGATGTTGAATAAGAGAAGGAAAACCAAGAGAAGGAAAACCCAAATTCTGGTCTCTCCTCCATTGCAGAAGTTCATTAAGTGGCTTTGAGTCAGTCACTCTCTATCAACTCAACCTAGTGTTGCAGGATTTTGTGGGGGAGGGAAATGGGAGGGTGGAGTGCTATAAAAGAAATGTATGATATAAATCTAATAAATAATTAATTACAATATAACTTTTCTAGAGTTAATCTATCACCAACTAACTAAAATTGGTTCCTTCTATCCACAGATATTCCTGGGTGTCCTGGAATGGTGGAAAGTTGAGTGGACAAAGAACTCCTCACCCTTTGCCACTTGCAGAAGCTGGGGAAGAGACGAGTCCAAGTTCAGCCATATTTCTATCAGGATGGGAGAGCTACACATTCCTTCAAAGAAGGACAAAGGAGTGAGCAGATGGAGGAAGCCAAGACTCCAGAGTGTGAAACATGAGGAATCTGCAGGGAATGAATCATTCTGGGACCCAACTAGGAGAAACCAAATTCATTGTGTGAGACTACTGCTTGAGATTGGATTGGGGGAACCTTCATAGTGCAATAATGAAAACATTTTCATGGAACTGAATCATATGAGTTTTCAGGAGCTGGGGAAGAGTTAAAACAATCTTTCATAACCCCACAGGAAATCTCAAGGAACTAAAAGCTTGGGAATATGTTTTCCCATATTATTCTTAGTCTACTAATAAAAAGGACACACAACATCAGGCTTTTTAGCTAGCAGATTGTTAGGATTGGAAGAAGATCTTAGTGCAGCCCATGATAAGCACAAGTTTAGGAAAACAAAAAATAGCCCTGGAACTCATAAACAGGGAACCACTATTAAAATGGGTTTTACAATGCTTTTTCAAACTAGTTTCTATTCTTGCAAGTCTTTAGAGAGCCAAGTTGTACCACATAGTTTCAAAAACATTACTCAACTTTTATTAACTTTTTAACCAACTTTTACTCAGCATTTACAGAATCAATTTTTCCATCAGTTTTCAGTGATAAAGACTTCTGTCCACTTTCCTTTAAAGAATAACTGAAAAAGGACATGGTTGGAAGACAGCTCTTCTCTCTTTCTATATGTTTAAATGTTATCTCTTTCTCATCTCTCTCTCTCATTCATATATATATATATATATATATATATATATATATATATATATAAATGTATTTATATATATATATATATATAAAATCTTTTAACTTTCCTTTCCTTTCCTCTCCTCTGCTCTCCACTCCTCTCCTCCCCTTGTCCCCTTTCTCCCCTCCCCTTCCTAATGGGAAGGGACTGAATTCTTTTGGATATTGAGAGATCTGGACTTATCTGCCAGCTCATGAATCCTTCCAAATCATTTTCAAAAAGGGAACAGACTGAATACAAAGTGGAGTAAAACAGTGGATCACCAGAGAAAGTAGTGAAGAAGTACAAATTGGTTAATGGAAAGACCTCAAGGCAAAAGAAAACCTTCAAAACTGATTTTCCAACAAGCCTTCATTGCCTATACATTAAGAAATTTGAGATGTAAAACAATTGATTTCAAATGTAAAGTGTTTCAGCCTTGAAGGTAATACTCAGCTTTAAAAAAATGCAGAAGAAAAAGTTCTTACTCTTGATTATTTGATGTTTGTCCTATGAGATGACAGTAAGGAGTCCACAGTCAGTCCTTCCTCTGCCAGCCAGCTCCACATTGTGCAGTTGATCAATGAAATAGGCAACAAGGACTTCCTATTTCTCCCCAACTGCCCTTTTTGCAATGAGTGGCCACTCATTGGCCAGGAGTGGCTTATCTCATGATTTTTAAAAATGCCTGATGCTCTTCTATGAATGAGTCACACTTGTGGAAGTAGTTTCCCATCTCTTCTACATGGATTTCATGTTCGGTGTTGTTGTGCAGAATTCTTCACCTCTTCTGATTTAAGAGAAGGAATTCCTGACCTGTAAACTCCAAGAAAGCTATCCATCTGCACCGAAGCTTTGGTTGACCAGTGATTGTACTGTAATTTGCACTCAACAATGGTATGCACATGTGAACCTCTATGCATGATCTGCTTTAGATCCTGCATCTTTAAGTATCATATAAGAAGAGGGAATGGAAAAAAATGGACTCTGCCTGGCTTTCTTTCTTTTTTTTTCTTTTTTCTTTTTGCTGTGAAGTTGAGATACAATGGGCTTCCATCAGTGCTGTTCTCCAGTTGTGAAATGTATTTATTTATTTATTAGCTGATTGTATTGTAAAAGCAACTTGCAGAGTTTGTCTGGCTTCTTAGGGTTCCTCTCTACGGAGAGATGATGATGAAACCCATAGAAAGACACTGGCTCAACCAAAATAAAAATGAATCTTTTGCATGGTGATGTCCAGAATCTACAGAGATCTATCCAGGTCTACCAGCTACTGTTGTCTTTTTGCTCTACATATCTAGACATATATTCAGGGGAGAAGTTAATGAAAGATACTGATAAATAACAACCTATTGGTTCTTTTTTCCCTTACTGATCTATTAGTGATGCCAGACAGTGATGCCAATAGTCACTTGACTATTAACTCTTCAGCTAATTAATCCACAAATTGGACTACATTCCTGTTTGTGGAATGATTATGATTATGCTGATCAGGAGGGGACATCATACTCCTTTCTTCCCATGACATTTTTCCAACTTTAAACATGCAATTTGGCAAGGGAGGGGAAAGCAAAAAGTCTTCACACTCCCTCCCATAATTTTCTTGCAGATCCCTAAGAAACCAACAACATCTAATTTAGTTTTGGGACAGAGTGAAAGCTCAGATCACCTTCTTAACCCATGCCTGGCTCCAGATGGAGGGAAATAAGTGGTTTTCCTCCACTCCCAAGAATTTAGTTGCTTGATTACTAAGGGTGAGGGGGAAAGAAAGAAGCCACAGGAATCCACCACTGATGACTGGCTGATGAGGTCCATGCTAACAAACCAATCGAGTTGAGTGGTCAGGGAACTACTGTATATTGATCCCAAGAATCCAGGATACATTTTCAAGTAGAGCTTTTCATATGCTGTTGGGTAGGAAATGTGAGTGTGAGTGAGTGGGTGAGTGAATGAGTGACTGTCATTCTGGGAATTGCATGTTTTGTAAGAAACAGCCACAAGTGGACTGCCATCTGTCAAAAATGACATAGGGTCTGCTTGGGCAGGAGGGGGTGTCGGACTGGATCAGTGGTCGCTAACCAGTGGGCCAGGGACCACTGGTGGTCCATGAGAAAACCTTGGTGGTCCGTACCCAAAGCACCCTCCCCAAAGCAATTAATCCAGGCTGTGCAGAAACACATGACCCACCCACCTGCTGGTCCCCACCCTTCGGCCAAGTGCAAAACTTACCTCCACATGAGCTGGAATTGGAAGGTATGACCAATGGCGGGGAAGGGAAATCCACTCCGGGGTAGCTTGTTGATGTTGGTGGGAAAGTCGGTCCAATATTCCAGACCTGCAGTAGTCACAGGACTGGCCCTTTGATCATCCCGGAGCAGCTGCTCCTCCACCTGGGTGCACCAGCTTGCCATGGACTGGAGGAATAGCTGCTCTGGGATAACCAAAGGGCCAGTCCTGTGACTACTGCAGCTTTGGAATATGGGACCGACCTTCCCACCAATGTCAGCAAGTCACCATCAGTCAAAATTCATATTAGTGGTCCGTGGGATTTAAAATTATGAGTTTGGTGGTCCCTGAGGTCCAAAAAGTTGGTGACCCCTGGACTAGATGATCTACAAGGTCCCTTCCAACTTGGTTCACCTATAAGTATCTGTGAAAAACCTACCCAAATAAGAAGCAGCTTGTTGGTGTGTAGAACATTTCATTCAAGGACAGGGTGCCCAAGAACGGATCAAGCTTTTTCCTGATGATGAAGTTTTGATACATGCTGGGCTTATAAATAGCTGTGGCTTTTTAAAAATAAGTAAAAAGAAAACACTAGGTTTTCCTATTTAATGGAACTCTTGCATCATATTTAAATTGACTCTGGATATTTCTCTTGCAGAGAAAAGGTTACTAAATACATCTTTTTAGAAATATTTGAATATTTGCTTGTGGTGTGAACTAAGAAACAACAACAAGTTAAATGAAGAGCAGCTCTGACTAAAGGTATTATTAAAGAATCTGAACAATTACAGAACATGTATCGTAGTTATTACAGGCTATAATAAGAAACTAAATCAAAGAGGTTTTCTTTTATTATTTCATCACCCAGATCTGCAGAAAGATACCACACATACCAATACACATTTTAGACATTTAAGCAATAGATTAGCTATTCCTAACCTTTGGGAATAATGCCTTGATTTCACATTCTAGTAATAGTGGTTTGATGTGTTGTGTAGATAGCATTTCTTGGAATCTAAGTTTAAGATGAATCCATGTCCTTGAAAATCAGGATCGCTAATTATATTGTTGTTCCTGTCCTTTCAAACCATCTGTTTTTAAGATATTCATGCCTTGCATGGGCTGAGGAAAGTTTTTGTTTTTATCCAGAAAATTTAAATCCCCAGATATTTTATACAATATTATCACATTGTCAACCAGCCTAAGGGCCTCTTAAACAGGTGTCTCTCTCTGGAATCTTGGAAGGCCTTATGTTTGATGCTCTTAGTGCATAATCCACATCAAAGTGTAGGGTAAGGCTTTATCAGTATTTTGGAATTAGGTTTGAGTGATATTTATTGCTTTAGAAGGAATTTCGTTTGACTGGGATGGGATTCTTTTCCAATATCAGTCACCTATATTAATCTCAAACAGTAATGGAAGGGGCAAAAAAAACCCAGAGTCTTTTCATCTTTTCAAAATCACAGACCTCTAATAAAATTTCCAGAACCATCAAGTCACAGTTCATGCTTCACAAGTGAGGAGCCATATATCTCTAATGCTGGTGGTTATATAGCTGCAAGTATAACCATTGTTTAACTTCTTTTCCTTTAAAACTATAAAAGTAGGCATTAAAATGGTCCTTTTTTTAATTAGTAGCAATTGCTGATGTTCTTCAGAGTCCATTACAGCTCTGCTACTTCTCATGAACTCCAATGTACTTTGACAATAACTATTATTATCTATGCATTTATTTAAAACGTACATGAAAATGTAATGCATGATTATCACTGAAATGGTAACATTTTTCTGAAGCAGACACAAAATATATAAAGAAGATGTCACAACATACATAAAAGAATACACCCAAGTATAGGGTAGCTTGTCATAAGCAAGCTAAGTTGTGCAAGAGCTGCTGCCAAAAATTATGTGCTTTGAAACTCCTCTAAAAGGGTTCTTGAATTTCAGTTTTGCACAAATGCAAATAGCCTACAAAATACCTAAACTTTTGCAATGCAAATGCCTGGGCATATAAGTATATCCTCTGTCATACATTTGGAAGATGAATACATGAGAGCATGGAATTCACCCAGGGTGGAATAGGGAAATCAAGGTTCGAGCTGTTTCATTGGATATTGTCATGACATCCTTGGCAACAATATAAGTTGTGTGTAGGCAATGGCGGATTAAGGCTCACTGGTGCCCTAAGCACTGACAAGTCTTGGTGCCCCACTCCTTTGTACATATTGTACAAATGAAGCCATATTCACAACTTTGTGGTGCCCCCTTTGGGCCTGATGCCCTAAGTGTGTGCTTAATCTGCTTAATGGTTAATACACCACTGTGCGTAGGAGGGAATCACTTGTTAAAGAATAACAAAGAGTCAGGCAAGTGACTCTCAATCACCAGGATCAGCAGTAGTTCAGTGATATAAAAAATGAAAGGAATTGGACACATTTTGAACCACACTGCAGAAATTGTAAACCTCAGCTAAATCTTTTGCTGTCAGACTGGATGCAATACATGTAAAAATTTATAAAGAATTGCCATTCCACCAAGCTGTTCCTAGCTAGTATTTTGGTACTTTCCTTACAATGTTCTTAAAACCTTTTACCAAAATGATGAACCTTTGGCAGCTTTGTTCAGCCAAATTAAGAATATCAGCAAACACATGAGAGATTGGTTTTGCCAATTTCAGCCAGCAACTGGCATACAATAGATGTTGATCGGTACAGTGACTGCTGTCATGCTCACCCTATTAGGTGAC